AGGCTGGTTCTTCTAATCGTGTGGTAGATGTGCTTAGTCGGCGGCATGTGTTATTAGCGCGGCTACAGGTAGCTGTCACCGGGTTTGAGACCTTTGTCTCTCTTTATGTTGATGACCCTTATTTTGGCCCCATCTATCACAGTTTACTGCAGGGACCCCATTCCTCTTTTCTGTTAGAGGATGGGTATGTGTTTAGAGGTGTTCAGTTGTGTATACCAGATTGCAGTCTTCGTCTGAAATTGATTGAGGAGTTTCATGGTGAAGGTCATGTTGGGCGAGATCGTACTTTGGCTTTGATTAGCGCTTCATTTTTCTGGCCTACTATGCATCGTGAAGTGGAGAAATTTGTCTCACAATGCAGGGTGTGCCACGTGGCAAAGGGGAAAGCCACAAACGCTGGTCTTTATCGACCCTTACCAGTGCCTTCAGCTCCGTGGATTGATATTAGCATGGATTTTGTCCTGGGTTTACTGCGCACACAACGTGGTAATGATTCCATCTTTGTGGTGGTAGATCGTTTTTCTAAAATGGTGCACTTCATTCCCTGCAAGCGCACCACTGTTGCTGTCAAAGTTTCTCAGCTATTTTTCAGAGAGATTTATCGGTTGCATGGGTTGCCCACTTCCATTGTGTCTGACAGAGACACGAGGTTCATCGGTCACTTTTGGCGGATTTTATGGAAGTCAGTTAACACGTCGCTCAATTTTAGTAGTGCTTATCACCCTCAAACTAATGGGCAAACAGAGGTAGTTAATCGTTCTTTGGGTGACTTGTTGTGGTGCTTGGTTGGGGATAATCTACGTTCATGGGATCAGCGGCTTAGCCAGGCAGAGTCTGCGTATAATCATGCTAGAAATAGAAGCACTGATTTTGGTCCGTTCCAGGTTGTGTATAATATTCTGCCCCGCAGCCCTGTTGATTTATTGACTCTGCCCTCTAAGACTCGGCTGCATGGGACAGTTATTGACTTTGTTCGTAGTTTGCAACAAGTTCACGAGGAAACACGAGCTAATCTGCTAGAGTCCAACCGTAAGTATAAAGAGGCGGCTGATCGACATCGACATCCTGTTGAGTTTGACG